TCGGAGATGATTTGGTTGGGTTTTTGATCGAATGTGAGTTTCGGAAGAATTTGAAGAACTTAGGCTTGAAACTGATGAAAAATGAGGATTTTTGTGTTGTTGGATGTGTTTTTAAGATTGGAACAAGTTTGGATAGGGCATTGGATCATGTCTGTGCTTTTGGTTAAGGTCCCGGGGGCCTCGGGGTGAGTTCGGGTGGTTAAACGGAAGGTTTTTGGAGTTTAATTGCAGGTTCAAGTTGTTGGTATCTGTTGGTTTCGCACCTGCGGTTGTGGGGCCGCAGGTGCGGTCTCGCTGAAGCGGTTTGAGGAGCGCGGAAGCGGAAAACTTGGCCCTTGCCAGGTTCCGCAGAGGCGGGATTAGGATCGCTTAAGCGGTCCCGCAGAAGCAGAAAGTGGCCTTAAGTGAAAAGTCCGCAAAAGCGGACGTTGACCGCATAAGCGGAAGTCGCAAAAGCGGTATTTGGTCCGCAGAAGCGGAATAACTGGCAGTTAAGTGAGATTTATCTTCTTCGCAAATTTCTGAAAGGGTAACATTTTGGACTCCGAGCCTTGAGAACTTTGAGGCGATTTTGAAGAGGATTTCGAGGGCTTTAATCAGGTATGGATTCTTGGACTTAGAGTTTGATTTGATGGTGTATAAACATGGATTTAGACTGAATAATCAAGGAATCAAAGGTCAAAAATGGTGGTTTAGGGCTTGAACTTAAGAGAGTCTAAAATGGGGATTTGAGGGGTCAAATGGACTTCGATATTTATAAATTTGATATGTATGGACTCGTGGCAAGACGATGAATCTGGTGATGTGAATTTTGTAATTTTTCGAGAAGTGGGCCCGGGGCTCGGGTTTTGCCAACTTCGTGATTTTTTGGTATTTTTCGAGTCCTTTCGATTGGGTTATGTTTCTTTGGCCTATAGTAATGTATTCCTTGCGGTTTTGACCAGATTCGGCACGCGAGGAGGTTGATTCGAGAGGAAAAGGCATAGCGAGCTAGACTTGTGGCCGGCTTGAGGTGAGTAATAGATGTAGATGATGACCTGAGGGTTTGAAACCCCGGTTTATCGCATTGTGACGCTATATTGAGGCGAGACACGTACTCTATGACGAGTACGGGGTCGTTTGTGATTGGGGACTGTGGCTTAGTCCGTCCCGAGTGATGTTCATTCTGTGTTCTTGACTAGAGATTGATTGGTAATCATCCTACTTGGATTTTATGGATATATTTGGGCTTTGTGCCGATTATTTGAATCCTTCAGGGATTATTATCACTGTTTCCATGATACTTAGCATGTTAAATGATTTCAGTCCTGAGTTAAACATTGTTTTGAAATGTTCAGTCATATTTCTAAGATTTAAAAACTTAAACTACATTTTTCTGACATTCGGAGTTGAGAGCTATTACTTAATATTGCCCGAGTGGCTTACTTGCATATTCTGGACTGAGCATGGATTGGGCTGCACGCCGAAGCAATGTTATTGTCGATATTGTGCTTAGGCTGTAGGAGCCCCTCCGGAGTCTGAACCTCCACAGTGAGCGCGGGTACCCAAATGGATCGGGCTGCGCGCCGCAGCGGTCATATGCATTGCATTGCATTCATGCATTAGTATTTATTTTCTTTACCTGTCATTTGATTTGCTGTTATCTCACCGTTAAATGTGCTGGCTTGCCAATTATAGGTTTACATTGTAATGTTTCGTGATTTCTTATTTTCAGCCATTATCTATGCTTATTACTCACTGAGTTGGAGTACTCACTTTACTCCCTGCACCATGTGTGCAGATACAGGTGTTCCGGAGGCTTAGTAGAGTTGTTGCTGCTCTCCAGATTATCACAGGAGTTGTCGAGGTAGCTGCCTGGCGTCCGCAGGACCTGACTTCTCCCCTTATCCCTTTGTTTTCCTGCATCCTAGACTTTCATATGTTTAGATTTTGCTACTCAGTTGTATTTAGAGGCTCTAGACTCGTGACCCCAGATCCGTTGGGAGTCGTATTGGCATTTGTTATGGTTTTTCCGCACTATTTCTGTCTATTACTACGGGTTGGAATTTTGTTATCTGATAATTTAACTCTATTAATTGGTAATGGGTCGCGTATTTGGATTTGAGGAATGTTAAAATGGTCGTGCTTGCCTAGCATTGTGTTGGGCGCCATCACGACCGGGATTGGGTCGTGACACAAAGGAACTCAAGCATGAACCAGGTCCATCCACAATGTACACTGACACGGGCAGAATCAAGCATAAGGGATTCACGTGAGGGAGATAAGCTTAACTTATTATATCTGATATCTCCTGATCGAAAAGGTTGTATAATTGATAAGGAGAAGGACTCCTTACTCAAAGAGAACACTATCCAAGATAAGGAATGAGTTAGAAGTTGAAGTTAACTAGAACTCTTCCACCAAGGAAGAGTAGCATTAGAACTCTAGTTATTTTCTATTCTATTAACTCTATAAGTCACAAGATGTTCTCACTTTACACGTACGCACAAAGCTGAAGTTAAACGTGAGTTTAGAGCAAAATAGCAAGGCATTTTGCAAGCAATTCGTGTGTGATTCAAGTGTGCGAACCTGAAGCTACATGAACCAGATAGAAGAACCAGTTCTAAGTGTCTGTCTTTTATTCTAGTTCAATGTAGTAGGTATTTTCATATTGTACCTTTCAGCTTTATCTAGAAGCAATTGTAATAGGTACTCTGAGTATTCAAGTTAGAGTTTACTTTAAGTTGTCGCAACAGTTAGAGGATGGTTTCCACAACGAGATTAAAGGTAATCCTTAGGTTTACAAAGAGTTTTTTGTAAATGCTGTTTTGGCTCAGTGATTTAGTGAAGTGTTGGAAAAAATCCTACAGAGTAGTAGGTCGTGATTTTTTCACCTTTTGAGCCAGGTGTTTTCTACGTAAAAATACTTGTGTTCTTTACTTTCCGCATTTATTATTTTCGCAATAGTAGTTTAAGGAACACATAAAAGAACCAGGTCCTTCTATAATCTGTGCACGCGAAAATTAGACACCACACAAATCACCCCCCTCTTGTGTGGCATTGAAGTATAAAACATCATTTTTGGTGAGTGTAGCTTCTCCAAAGCAATATGGATGAGATTACTGAGATGGTTGCAACTATTGAATGCTCCAACTAATTCTTGGCAACAAATGTTTATATGGCTGCTTTACCAATCCAAAGGTAAGTCACTGAAGGCAAAGATTCTCAAGATGATGTATACAGAATATAGCTATGTGATTTGGAAAGAGAGGAACAGTAGAGTGTTTGAAGATCAAGCAAGAAATGTAGAACAGATAGCTAGGGAAGTGGCATGCATATGCAACATTAGAGCACAAGGGGGAGTGAGGACAAAGATGCAGCAGCTTTATTTCTAACGCAAAACAACATTTCAAAGACGAGCGGGCAAGATAGTACTTTGAGGATTTATGTACTGCTTATAGTATAGTTATGTATAGAGATAAAACTACGTATGGATTGTAGCAAGTCGAGGATGATTATGCTGATTTATAACAATTGGTCTTGGTGATTAATGAAGTATTCTAATTACCAAAAATTTAAAAAAAAATGAAGTTAAAAGTTTATAAACCGTGAAGAGCAATGACCTTCGCCATAAGTAAAGAAAATTATTTTCCTCTTTTTGATGAACTGGTAGCAAACAGCAGAAGTAACTTCCTCATAACAAAAAAAATCGTATAATAAATAATTTCCATCTTACCAAAGACAGAAGTGGCTAAACTAGTTATACTACCACCTTTTACGTTTAGTAATACTCAAAAAGAATAGTAGTAACAAAGTTACTGGTAAAAGAGGTCTAGTAGGGTTAGTCGACCTATCGTGCAATACCTTCTAAACATCGGTCAGTTAGAAGCCTACTAAGACAGAAATACTTGCTTTGTCGGCTCAGTAATATGTCAAATAAAGTTGATTATGGCATATTTTACAAGCTGTTAGATACTTGGACTTAAATTCAGACATTAAATCGTGAACTTAAAGTTATAAATTGTGTAAGCTCTCTCTTTCCCTCAAATGCAGAATTAAAAAAATGGAGTTCTTTTTCACAATTTATTTATCCTGTGAGAACATGATTAGGAGAATCAGAAACAACGTACAAAGACGAACCGTTATAATTCTCTTCCTGCAACTCAAAATTTATATTACTTGATCAATTTAGAAGTCAAGCTAAGAGGCTTCTAATTGACCTTTCTTTGTTGTTAATTTGTTCCAACTTTGTGAACTCAACAAGTATATGTGGGTATATTCTTCCTATGTTATGCTATTTTAAAAAAAAATAAAAAATTAAAACCCTCCACTGGACTAGAGAAAGTGGGTTGGGCTGGTCTCAACTCTGGCAATTTGAATATCTCCACATCTGCATCAATCTATTAATGGGAAAAGCAGGCTGATCCATAACAAGATTCAAATATAACCCAACAAGGAAATAAAGGAACTCATAAAAAATAATAATACAGTAATCCACTTGATGAATTGATTCCTCCACATGTATTATTGGTGCTGACATGGCAATATACAATTGGTACATAGCTCATCTTAACATTCACTTTTAATTTACTGAATAAGGTTATAGCTATGCTTTTAACATATAGGCATCAAACCCTACCAAAATTGTTATAGTGTGAGTTGTAAGCCTTAAGGCCAACTGGATTGGTGGTAGACACATCAGAAAGGAAACTGTGGGTCCCATTTTGGCTTTGTGTATTTTCCTATTATAGAAAATAAATGAGCTGGTCAGGGGGTTCTGTCCAAGGCAGGAAATAACTAAATTAGGTTAAATGGAGCATTAAGGGAAGGAAAGCAATTTGGATTTCTGATTAATACACTACTGTTGAACAACTGTAAAGGATAACCAAAAAAAACAAAAAAAAGAGAAAAGGATTGTTAGAATAGCTTCCTTGAATCTAGGCTTTGTTCAATACTACACACCTCTATATAAATAGCTCATTCTCCCATTGTTCATAATATACTTGTAAGCTACACACAAAGAATTATCTCTTCACTAGTGAGGAATTTCTGTTTATTGTGTTCAGAAGAGATGATTCATTTGGCTTTTACATTTGGCCTCCTAGGTATAAAAAAAATATAATATATTTGTTGGCTTGTCTTCCCTTTTATCCTTTTCTCATTGTATTAATGGCAGAGTAGACAGTGAGAATCGAACTCACACATATTGTGGGTCCAACAATTATAAATTCTATTTTTTGTCTTACTCTTTTTTGTGTTGTCGGATGGATATCTTAGTCGCTTAAAAGAAATCATCCTGCTTCATTATTTTTTCAGCTTAGAAACATCTTTATCGAAACATATTTCATTGTTTTAGACATTTATTCTTAATACCTCACTAAGTTTGAATTACCTTTTTTTGATTTATTTTAGGCAACATTGTCTCCTTCATGGTCTTCCTTGCACCAGTGTAAGTATTTTTCCTAAAGCCATGCAATGCATTTTTTTTTTTATTCAGAAAGGTAAAAAATTATGAAGTGGAGTGTTGAAATAATAATATTTGGTTGCAGGCCAACGTTTTACAAAATTTACAAGAAGAAATCAACGGAAGGTTTCCAATCAGTTCCTTACGTGATTGGTTTATTCAGTGCCATGCTTTGGATTTACTATGCATTTCTCAAACCTGATACCACTCTTCTCATTACCATTAACTCTGTTGGCTGTTGCATTCAATCTTTCTACATTTGCTTCTTCCTATTTTATGCCACAAAGAAAGCTAAGGTATTGCAACAAATTTCCAATTCATTTCTTTGTTTGTTTTCCTAGATTGAACGTTCAAATATTATTTCAATACTAAGTAAACGTTTTTTTTTTGGTGACACAACGTAGATGGACACAGTGAAGCTGCTTCTTCTGCTGAATTTCTTTGGACTGGGATTAATCATTTTGTTAACTCAATTTCTTGCAAAAGGTTCCAACCGTGCTCAGATAGTTGGATGGATTTGCCTTATTTTTTCCTTGTGTGTGTTCGTTGCACCTTTGGGTATTGTTGTAAGTATATTGCTTCCTCACAATCTTTTTCGTCCTTGCTCGTTTTTGTAACACTATGAACTAGTTTGCATGTATATCGACTATATTCTACTTGAATCGTTATTTTCCCTTCATTAGTACTATTTAATATGAATATTTTGGTTTTGACTGCAGCGACAAGTTATAAAGACCAAAAGTGTGGAGTACATGCCATTTCTCCTATCATTTTTCTTGACATTAAGTGCCGTTATGTGGTTTTTCTATGGTCTACTACGCAAAGATTACAATATTGCTGTAAGTTTATAAATCAAAAAAAAAAATCATTTCGTTCCTTTTTTAATAAATGTCCTAATGACTTCTCTTTAATTTCCAAAATAGATTCCAAACGTGCTGGGATTCACCCTTGGAGTGCTCCAAATGGTGCTTTACGTGATTTACAAGAACGCGAAGAAGGTCACAAAAGAAGTAAAAATAGCAGAAAAAGAAAATACAGTAACAATTGTGGAAGAGCATAAGATTTCTGAGGACAAATTAAAAGAGCAGATTATTGATGTTGTGAAGTTGAGTGCAATGGTGTGTTCAGAAATAATTCCAATAGTTCCTGAGCTGAACGAAATTAATATGCCTCAACTCAGTGGGATTATTAATGGAGAGAAGATAAAGCCAAAGGAAACCATAGAGGCCTCTGTTGAAGTCTGAACCTGCAGCTAATTAATATGATAATGGCTTGGTTAATTAAGTGATATTATTATCTAACTAATGTTATTGATCATGTTATGTATTCCAGATATTATTTCATAGCTAGGTCCTCACTAAGTGTAATTTAGGCAGGGCAAAAGCTCTGATTGTGTGTGCCTAAGTTAATTAATTATGTCTTTTATCTTTTGATTCTATTCGATTTGTAGCTAAAATATTATCTATTAATGAATCTTTCAGTTCCAACACAATCTCCTACCTTTTTTTCTCAATCTCTAATTGCTAAATTCTTTGTTTTCTATTCCTTCGCTTTCATTACTTTAAACTGAACAACAAAGATTAAGTGAAAAGATAAAAAGGCTTTCGTTTACTTGCATGCAAGTATATATGTGGAAATTAAATGACAACTACACTTTACGTGTGTGGCCATGCAAGAAAGGGGTTGAGAGAAAAAAAGAAAATAAAACAAAAAAAAATGAAAAAAAATAAAATAGAAACGACGAACAGAATAAGACTAGAATATGACTCCAAGAAGATGGGAAAGCACACTCGTGCAATATATGCTTTTGCAATGTTTGCTTAACCTACAGTGGCTTTGAGCAAGTTGCTTCAATTTTTCTCCTCAAAATAAAATGAATTTCCTTAAAAAGAATGTCTACGAAATTAATTAAACAAAGAATATATAAGGAAATGTTAAATTACTCATTTAAAAAAATTATTAATAAACGAATAGATTAAAAGAATTGTTACAAATAAATCAAAATAAGAGAGATAAGTAATATTGTAAACTACAAGAAAAATTAATGTAATGAAGCCAAACTTAAAGGAATGTTTATAAACTTGATATAACCTAATAATTAAGTGATTTGTTTAAGTTCATGTATTTAACCGGAAAAGGAGACAAATATTAACTTTTGCGACATACTTTCAAAGATGATACAAATTTTTAACTTTACACAACTTCTGTTGATCTCAAACTGGCAATTAAATTGGCCCGTCAAGAATATTTTCTCTTTTTATTCAGTATTTCACCTTATTAATGTAACACTTCAACCTCATTTTATTGCATAACAATGATACCAGTCTATCGTACTCCATTGTAAGTGGCAACTTAACATGACTCCGTGGAGATAAACTATAGCTCA